TATAAACAAAATGGATGAAAACTACATGATCATCTCCATAGTTGCAGAAAAAGCCCTTGAAAAAATTCAACACTTCATGATAAAAATACTCAATAACTAAGAATAGAAAAAATAATTTAACATAAAAATAAAAATTCATGTAAGAATAGCCACAACTAACATTATATTCAATTGGGAAATACTGAAAACTTTTCCTCTAAAATCAAGAAGAAGGCAAGGCTGCCTGCCCACTCTCACCATCACTATTCAACATAATACTGGAAGTTCTAGATGGAACAATCAGCAAAGAAAAAAGAAGGAAAATTATCTGTTTGCAAATGACATGATGTTACATGTATAAAACCCTAAAGAGTCCATAAAAGATGTTATAACTAATTTAAGACTCAGCAAAGTTGAATGATACAAAATCAATATTCAAAAATTGAATTCCTCATGTTAACAATGACTAATCCAAAACTAAACTAAGGAAGTAATCCCATTTTCTATATCATCTAAAAATAAAAAATATTTAGGAATAAATTTAACCAAATAAATGAAAGATCCGTGCACAGAAAACTGTAAAACATTGCTAAAATATCAAGAACGACATGATAAATGGAAAGACATTCCATGCTCAAAAGTGGCAGACAATATTTTTAAATGTCTACATTATCCAAAGTGATCTACACATTCATTGTAATCTCTATCAAAATTCAAATCACACTTTTTGCAGAAATATAAAAAAAACATACTAAAGTTCATATGTAATCTCAATGGACACTGAACAGCTAAAACAATCTTGAAAAAGAAAAACAAAGTTGGAGGCCTCAAACTTTCTAATTTTAAAATATACAATGGCAACAGTACTTAAGACAGTTGTGCCGGCATAAAGATAGAAGCACATTGCACAGGCCAGTGTGACTCTGTTGGTTGGAACATCACTGCATACACCAAAAGGTTGCTGCTTTGGTTCCAGGATGGAATACATATGTAGGTTGTAGGTTTGCTCCCCTGTCAGAGGGTAGAGACAACTAACTGATGTTTCTCTTTCTCTCTCCTTTCCTATCTCTCTGAAATTAATGAGTATGTCCTGGGGTGAGGATTTAAAAAATACAACTAAATTAATACAGTATTATATATTAACTATATATGTTTTTAAAATAAAAATTAAAACAATAATTAAGAAGATACATACATAGAACAAATGAAACAGAATTGAGAACTCAGAAATACACTCTTGGTCATATAGCAAAAATGATTTTTGACAAGGCTATTGAGACAACAAAATGGCAAAGAACAATCTCTTTAATGAGGAGTACTGAATATCAACATGCAGAAGAATAATGATGGAATCTCCCATTACAATATGTACAAAAATTGACTGAGAATGAACCCATGACCTAAATGTAAGCTCTAAACCTATTATACTCCTGAAAGAAAACATAAAAGATAAGCTTTACGATACTAATTTTGGCAATAATTTTTTTAAATGACACCAAAAATCCAGGCATAACAAAAGGTGGGGACAACTGTAATAGCATAAACAATAAAATATTTTTAAATGCAAAATTAAGCAAGTGAGACTACATCAAACTAAAAAGATACTGTTCAATACATGAAACACTCAGAAAATGAAAAGGCAATCTATTGATTGCAAGAAAATATTTGCAAACCATATATTTATTAGAGATTAATATTCAAAACATATAAGAAAGTCATGCAATTCCATACAAATAAAATAAATAACCTGGTTATAAAGGGCAAAGAACTAGACAAACAAAAATTTTTCCAAAAAAAATATACATATGGCCAAAAGGTACATAAAAAGTTGCTCAACATCAGTAATCATCAAGAATATACAAATCAAAACCACACCTGGTTGTTCCTACCCTTTGTGACAGCATGGATAGAACTGGAGAGCATTATGCTAAGTGAAGTAAGTTAGGTGGTGAAAGACAAATACCATATGATCTCACCTTTAACTGGAACCTAATTGACAAAACAAGCAAGAAAAAAAAATATAACCAGGCACATTGAAATTGAGAACAAACTGACAGTAACCAGAAGGGAGATGGGAGGGGATAACGAGGGAAAGGAATGAAGGGTTTACAGAAACAACTATAAAGGACACATAGACAAAAACAAGGGGAAGTGGAAACATGGAGGGAGGTGGAGATGGCTGGGGTTGGGGAGGAAGACTAGTCATGGAGATGGAAAGTGCAGCCTAGGGAATATAGTCAGTAATAGTCTAATAACTACCTATGGTGTCACATGGATGTGAGATTCATCTGGATGATCATTAAGCAAATTATACAATGTATAATCAGTGAGGTGTACACCTGAAACTAATACAATAATATGTGTCAACTGCAATCAAAAAATAAAAGTGATTTAAAAAAATAAAAATAAAATGCCCTGAGCAACCTAAGTGCCCATCAATAAATAAATGGATAAAAAAACTATGGTACATTTACACAATGGAATTCTACAAAGCAGAAAGAAAGAAGGACCTCCTACCCTTTGCAACAGCATGGATAGAACTGGAGAGCATTATGCTAAGTGAAATAAGCCAGGCAGTGAAAGACAAATAACATATGATATCTCCTTTAATAGGAACCTAATCAACAAAACAAACAAGCAAGCAAAGTATAGCCAAAGACATTGAAATTGATAACAGGCTGACAGTGACCAGAGAGGAGAGTTGAGGGGATAATGGGGGAAAAGGGTGAAGAGTTTACAGAAACAATTATAAAGCACATATGGACCATAACAAGGGGGGGTGGAAACAGGGGAGGAAGGTGAGGAGTCCTGGAGTGGTGGGAAGGGGTGGGTGGAAAAGGAAGAAAACTGTACTTGAACAACAATTTAAAAAAACACACCTGTTAGAATGGCTATTATCAAAGAGAGAACGTGTCTGTGAGAATGTGAAGAAAGAAACCTTTGATAAATTGGCATAGCCATTACATAAAATTATATGGAAGTTCCTCAAAAATTTTGAAATACTGATGGAATAACCATATGATCTAGCAATCCTACTTCACATGTATATCCAAGTAAACAAAACCAGTATCTCAAAGAGTTATATATCTGCACTCCCACTGTCACTGCAGCATTATGCACAACAGCCAAGATATGAAAACAATGTGAATGTCCATTGATGGATGAATGGATAAAGAAGTATGGTAAATACGAGGTCTGTCCAGAAAGTATCTAGCTGTGTACTATGAAAAATAGAGACATTTATTGAAGAAGATACAAGATACATGAAACATTGTACATAGGACAATGACACCTCAGTTTCCTTCAAAATAGGCACTTTGGGACCTCACACAGTTCTCTCAATTGCCATCAGCTGCCCTGTATTATTCTCCTGAATCTTATTGATGGCCTGAAATCTCTTCTCTTACAAAGGTGATTTTAGTTTTGGGAAGAGCCAGAAGTCAGAGGACACCAAATCTGGGCTGTAGCAGGTCTGAGTCACCTGGGTGATTTCATGCTCTGCAAAAAATCTCTGCACCAGACATGATGCATGATCAGGCTCACTGTCTTGATGAAGCTGCCAACCACCAGTTGCCCATAGCTGCAGCCTTCTCAATCATTTGAATAGTTTCTGGAGAGGAATGCTCAAGCTTAATGTAAACTTTGATGAAGATTTGTTGCTCTATGCATTCAGTCATTTTGAATGCATGGCCACACAGTGCACCTGCTCACTCAACACCTCCATCACAGTGCAGTCATCCTTGTCCACAAATGTGCATTCCAGTCCACTCTCCTTGGCTGCCAGGTTACACTGATGTCACACAAACAATTCTTGTTATATTAACAATGATTGGGCTTTTCCTGGACAGATCTTGTATATACAGTGAAATATTACTCAGTTATAAAAATTAAATCTTGCCATTTGTGACAACATAAATAAATACAGAAAACATGTTAAGTGAAATAAGCCAGAAACAGAAAAACAAATATTACATGATCTGAATTATATGTGTATCCTACAAAGAAAAAAGCAAAGTAACAAATTGTAGAATGGTGGTTATGTGTCCAGGAAGATGAAGTCATAGAGAGTTTCAGTTCCACAGGGTGAAAAGTTCTAATAAATAGTAGTGATGCTTGTATAATATAAATGTACTTAATACCACTGAAATCTTTCTTAAAAATGGTTAAGATAATTTTGTTATGTTTATTTTAATAAACCACAATAAAATTGAAAATGTATCTATAAATGTACATATAAATGTATATATGTATACATGCATGTATGTTCATACCTATATACTGCAAAACCCTAAAAACTTATTATATAATATCAATGATACTTGCATATTAGAGTGAGATTACATATAACTTTTTTCCCTTTTACTTTTCTCACTTTTTCAAATATTCTACAAAAATACTTTAATAATCATGTAAAACATATTATTTTTCAAAACTCAAAAAAGTGAATACCAAATAGTATGCAAAATATAATTTCATTTTTAAAGAAATATGTTTATGTATGTGTGTGTATATACATGTATAACTAAGGAAAACTGAAAAGGTGAACAAATACATGTTTACAAGAGTTGGTTACCTGGAGAAATAAAATTATAGGAATTTTTATTTTCTCCTTTTTGCATGTCTTCATATTTTAATCTTTATTAATTATGTTACTTTTGTAATATTAATTACTTAGAAAAACACATAAAAATATAGATACTACATATGTAAATACAAATGACCCAATCCATGCTTTACTTAAAGGAAAACTCACAGATCTAAATGCCTATGTTGGGAATATAGAAAAATAAATAATGCTTTCTCATGCTCTTTATAACTACTTAAGGCATTGTATCTAGGCTAATAATGTTGACCGGATAATCACATTCAAGTCAAATAACCAATATAACTTTAAATAATGTATTGCTAAAATTATTGTTAATAATACTTAATTACATAACTTTGTTTTATTGATATTATTAACTTTGTTATTAAAATAATAAGCTATATTTCACACTTAGTAGTTTGCAGAGAATACATACATGATGTTCCTCTTTAACTGCTTCTTCTAACTGAGCTGCAAACTGTGAACATGCCATGAATGAATTCAGATCATCCCCAACCTTTGCAAATGACAAAACAGAAAGTTACCTTTATTTCAGAATCTATATGTATATTCATCTATATTTTAGTATATTTAACTAGTTTTGAAAATAATTTTGTGTATGTAACTTACTTTATTTTACTGTGTATAATGCACACTTTTTTGTCCAAAGTTTTTTGTTGGAAAATAAAGGTATGCATTATAAACCTTATGTCTGTTCTTGTGTTTTGTAATTATGTGTTACATAAAACTTTTTGTACCATAATATATTCAAAAATAAATGCTAAAATTCCTTTATAATACAAAACCCACCCAAGTATCTAAATATAAATAAATAAATAATTGAATTTAAAAAAATAAAATGAAAGTTTTATCCCTGAAAGTTTGGACCAAAAACGTGGGTGTGCATTATACATGGGAGCCCATTTTACATGGCAAAATACAGTGCATTCATTCAAACATATAAGAGAAGAAACCATGCTCCAAATTCTATACTAGCAAATTCTCCCAGAAAGAAAATTTAGTAGTACATTGTGGTAGTGGCTCATTAATGGCATAGTTGCAGAAAATCAAGCACTGCAGCCTTAAACTCCTAAAATGCTATGGGTGGTTACAAAAAAGTAATCATTATGTACATACATTATAAATATTTCTTTGTGTTAAAAATGAATGCTAATTATGACTTCTGATTATAGGGTATATTTTCCAAGAGATGTAGTCTTTCATAGTCACTTAATTGTAAACAGAAAACTTTGAGAAAATAATAGTCCCAGATTAAATGTTACAATGTGGAGACCCAACAAGGCAGAGGAGTAAATGGAAGTTGCACTAACCTCCTCAGAAAACCAATCTGGAATTACTACCAAATTGTAGAGCAATCATCTTGAATAACTAACTGAACACTAACTGGACAAAAGCCTTATAACCAAGGAAAGACAGAGGAAACCATTTCATCATCTGACTGGTGGAAAGGGAGGAGGAGACACAAGAGGACTGGCTAGGCTACAATGGGGTTTGGGGGGGTCCACTGAAGTTCTGGAAGGATATTTCAGCATCCAAGGGATTCCACTGAGAAGTGTGGGGTCTAAACCCCTAGTTGAGCTCCCCAACCTACAGCACCAGAGCTGGGAAAGGAACCCAGATAGCACCCAGCTGTGAAAAGTAGTGGCATTTCTGGCCACTGGGGAGAGATACTGGAGACACAGAGAGCCTCTTTAAAGGGCCAATGGACAAAATTCCATTTACTGCCACTTACCCTGTGCTCTGGCAGAGGGAGGGCATGGTGGACTAGAGACAGGTGATGATGAGACCATGTGGCTGGTGGGTCTAAGGAGAGAGCTGAAAGAACAGCTGCTAGGATCCCTGTGCTGAAAAACTCCCCATACTGCCGAGGCTATCTTTCTCAAGCAGATATACTCCCCTCCAAGTGGCTTTTCCCTGAGGAGAAGCAATACCCCTGCCCGAAGGAATTATTCTGCCCCACACTATGGATCTTAATCCAGGCTGCTGAATTCAGCTTGACGCTATATCAGTGATTAAGTTTAACATGTAAGACAGATCTCTGGAGGACCTGAGACATTAGCTGACCCTCCCCCAGGTGTGTACTGATAAAAGCCAGTCTTGTACAGCTTCATTCTTTCTGCACACACCCAGGCCCAGCAGAGGAAGCCACCACAAACTATGGATTACTGGTAGCTCAAAACAGGTTGCCAGGGCATGTTATAAGCAGTGACTGACAAAGGGCCTCACCAGCCTTTGCAGGTCTACCTAATACATAGAAATAAACAGAAGGAGGCAGCCAAATGGGAAGACAAAAAAAGGGGCTCCAAATGTAAAAACAGAAGAATCCACCAAAACAATAACAATGAAACAGAGGCAAGCAATTTATCAGATAGAGAGTTTAGAGTAATGATTATAAGGATACTCAACAGCATGAAAAAAAAAAGACACAATAAAAAGGAGTAGTCAGAAATAAAGAATTCAATATATGAAATAAATACACTGAAAGCAATAAACAGTAGGTTAGATGAAGCAGAATCAAATTAGCGATTTAGAAGAGATAGAAAAAACACACAAACAGAGTGGCAGAAAGAAAAAATAATTTAAAAGAATGAGAATAGTTTAAGAAAGCTTTGGTGCACCATGAAGCATAACAGTATCTGCATTATGGAAATAACAGCGAAGAGAGTGAACAAGGAATTGAGAACCTATTTGAAGAAATAATGATCAAAAACTTCCCTGTCCTGGTGAAAAAAAAAAAGATACACAAGTCCAAAAAAGTGCACAGTCCCAAACAAGATGGACCCAAGAGGACTACACCAAGGCACATCATAATTAAAATGGCAATACATAAAGGCGAGGAGAAAGTACTAAATGCTGCAAGAGAAAAGCAGGTAGTTACCTACAAGGGAGCTCCAGTAGATTGTCATCTGATTTTTCGACAGAAATACTTCAGGCCAGAAGGTATTACCATGAAATATTCAAGGTGATAAAAAGTAAGGACCTGTAACCAATGCTACTTTATCCAGAAAGGCTACCATTTAAAAGCAAAGGAGAAATAAAGAGTTTCCAATACAAGAAGAAGCTGAAGGAAATTGTTAACACCAAACCAGTACTGCAACAAATGTTAAAAGAGAGAAGAAGAAAAAGAAAAACAGAAGAATATAGTTTAAAAATAAAATGGCAACAAATATGTATCTATCAATAATCATCTCAAATGTAAATAAATAGCTTAAACACTTCAACACAAAGACATAGGATAGCTGAATGGGTAAGACAACAAGAGTGATACATCTGCTGTCTCCCAGAGACACACCTCAGATCAAAAGATTCACAGAGACTAAAAGTAAAGGAATGGAGAAATATATTTCATGCAAATGAAAAGGGAAAACAAGCTGGACAAAATTCTGACAAATTTGGCCATTATATCTGACAAAATTGACTATAAAACCTAGTCTATAGTAAGACACAGAAGGATACTACATAATGTTAAAGGGAACAATCCAACAAGAGGATATCACCATAGTAAACATTTGTGCAACCAATAAAGAAGCATCAAAATATTTAAAGCAAATTCTTACAGACATTAGGAGAGATTGACACAAATATAGTCATAGTAGGGTATTTTAACACCCCAATGATTTTAATGCATAGATCTTACAGACAGAAAGTGAATAAGGAGACAGTGGTCTTAAACAACACACTAGATCAAATGAGTGTAATTGATATCATCAGAATATATAATCCAGCGCCCTGGCTGGTGTAGCTCAGCGGATTGAGCGCGGGCCTGAGAACCAGACAATCGCGGTTCGATTCCCAGTCAGGGCACATGCCTGGGTTGCAGACCAATTCCCCGCAGGGGACGCACAAAAGGCAACCACACATTGATGTTTCTCTCCCTCTCTCCTTCCCTTCCCCTATAAAGATAAATAAATAAAATATTTTAAAAAAAAGAATATATAATCCCAGAACAGCAGTATATACATGCTTTTAAAGTGCACATGGAACATTTTCTAGGGTAGACCATATGTTAGGACTCAAAACAAGTTTCAACAAATTTAAGAAGATTGAAATCATGTCAAGCATCTTCTCTGACTACAATGCTGTGAAACTAGAAATCAATCATAAGAAGAGTACTAAAAACATGTAAACACATGGAAGGTAAATAACATGTTATTAAACAACAAAGGGGTAAACAACGAAATGAAGGAACAAAAGATACCTTGAAACAAATGAAAATGAAAATAAAACAATCCAAAATAAACAACTGACTTTATAGTTAAAGGACCTTGAGAAAGAACAACAAAGCCCAGAGTGAGTAAAAAGATGGCAACAATTAGGATCAAAGCAGAAATTTAAAAAATAGAGTTTTTAAAGATGCAAAAGATCAAAATATCCAAGAGCTGATTATTTGAAAAGATAAACAAGTTTGACATTTAACCAGATTTATCAATAGAAGAGAGGATCCAAATAAATAAAATCAAAAATAAAAAAGGAGAAATTACAAATGACATCAAATAAATTCTATTGCAAGAAAATATTACCATAAATTCTATGATAAGAATATATTATGAAAAACTATGTGCCAACAAATTGGACAACCTAGATGAATGGATAAATTCCTACACACATACAATCTTCCTAAACTAAATCAGGAAGAATCAAAGAATCTGAATAGACAGATTACACTTAGTGTAATTGAAGCAGTAATTAAAAAAAAAAAAAAAGGCCTGAACCAGATGGCTTCACAGGTGAATTTTACAAAACATTCTGAAAAGCTCCCAAGTTCATTTTACAAGACCAGCACTACCCTAATTCTAAAGCCAGATAAAGACATTACAAAAAAAGGATCTTATAGGCTACTATCTTTGATGAACATAAATGCTAAAATCCTTAACAAAATATCATTGGCAGGACCTCTATTTTGGGGGGATAGCAATGTACATAACTAATAATAACAATAGTAATTATAAATTTCCAGTTGTCTTTACTAATTGTGTAGCTATATTTCTCAATTAGACCAATGAGAGAAAAAAATTGTTGCATGGCAGTTCTAAAATATCATTTAAGGTGGGGTAAAGCAAAAATGCCACTCATGATCAGGATGTAAAAAGACATGAGAGGCCATCACTTCAGTGTTAACATTCCCAAAATAAAAAATATCTAAAATAATTATGTTTTTCTTTGAGGATACTGAAAAGAAAATAACACAATGAAAATTTGATGAATCAAATTCCAGAGAACAAACACTTGTGGGTGAGCAAAGAACCAAGGCCTTATCCATATCTAAAAGGGGTGTGCCCAAGGGAGGAAAATACTTAGCCCAATGTGTGCAGTCAAAAAGCAGGCCTGAAATTGAGAAACAGAATTTAGAGGATAAAGAAAAACCAACTGGGCCTTCTAACAGCCATTTAGATTCACGAGAGACTGGAATGAGAAAAACTGCTAAAGCAAATCCCTCAAACCAACCAGTTTTCTCTCACAAAATCCTTCCCTATCTGAAATTCGCTTGGAAAAAAA